CTCTGGTGGCAGTGGCTCAGCGTTCTTGGGCCTATGCAGGTTCTTCAGAATGCGGTTGATGATGTCGTACTTCTTCCAGCGCGTGGCTTGGCCGGAGGGGTCCGCCTGCAGCTGTTTCTTCACCGACCTGTGGGAAAAAGCATGCCGAAATGGTCAGTACAACATAGACCCCAGCTCAAGGGACACTCACCTGAACTTGGCCCTGGTCTGATTGACCTTCATCTGGATCTCCTCGGGCTTCACATCCACGGCGAACCGGTCGCGAAGCTCCTCGGACCAGCGGCCGAAAAATATGGTATTCTTGCCGGTGCGAGTCAGCCGCCAGTTGTCCCGCCCCCAGATCTCGTAGAGACGCTCCTCCTCGCTGGGCGTCCAGTAGCGACGAGCCTTCTCCTTGGCCCGGCCCTCGATCACCTCCTGACCGCCACACATGGCCAGATCCTGCTCGGACCCGGCTGTACTGCCTCCGCCTGCGTTCAGCGCGACCTTCTCGTAGTCCATGGACCGATCTGCTCCAGCTCCTGCTCCTGCTCCTCTATCTCGGCGCTCTTGGATTTGAGTGTCCCTGTGGCCACCGTCCGAGTTACACAATTCGGCGAGATGGGAGTATTGTGGAAAACACGGGGGAAGCCAATAGTTTTCTGCACAAAAAATCAACAACAGCTCTGATACACAGAAGAGTGTGACCGTGCGTCGCGAAAACCCGTAAGGGCATAGCAAAAATAGAAAGGCGTTGCATCAGGGGTATTCCCGAAAAACACCATTCTAACTACATCTTCTTGTATTAATATTACATAAATATAAATAAAATACATGCACAAATAACAAAGCGCTCAGCAGATTTAAATAAAAACTACATTGTACAGCCAGGCAATTAAATTATAGCCAAAAGATTTATTTAATATAAAAAGATTAATTTAATAGTAATATAAGCTATAATATTATAAAAGAACACAAACTTCCATCTGACGAGCTTTTAAATTGTGACCATTGGATTGAATGGATGCGCAATTCGCTAGATGTCAGAAAAATATACCATTATTTTTATGAAGAATAGTTATAAGGTTAATAACATTAACAAAAATAACACTTTCACAATTGCTCTTTACAAATAAATGAAGGAAAATTATGAACAAAATGTTATAAGTGGGAATGCGTTTTCTCACCTATATAGGCGGTCATTTCCGTTTGGTCCCACTAATAGCATTTTCGGTATTTTCGGTGTTCCGTTGTCTGGTACTCGGTCACGTACGAAAATGTTTGGATAGCCGGAACAAATCTCAAACAAATCTCGGAAATTGCGAAATGAGCGGCCAGAAACACCTGCGATTGCGCTACTACACCTCCTTGGAGGAGGCCTTGGTGGTGAAGCTGTGGCGCGAACACCTGCCCGACATACCCTCCTACACGGATAACCTGCCCATTTTCCGGGAAATTGCATTCGGACTGCAGCAGCATGGCATCCGCCTGAACAAACAGGAAGTTCGCCGGCGCATCAACAGCTACCGCAACAGATATTTGTAAGCAGTGGGAATTCAATCCCATGTAGAGTTTAGAGAGTATGATTTTGCAATCATAGAGTCTTCTATAAGAACTTCCAGTCAGCTCAGTTAACAGAACGTACGGTGTTTTATATAGATGTATTGCCAGTTTTTGTATGTGATTGCACTGAAAACATCCCGGTACATCCAAGATATTTATATCCAATTCTTAACCATTTGACCATATGTAGGGTTTTTTAAGCTAAAGAACGCGAAAAAGCAATTGGCACAAAGACCACAAAATTACGTTGGCTTATAATTAAAATAACTGGAATACTTAATAGGTATAATGACTATATAATTTGCGATATGATATGTAACATTACTTTAAAGAAGTTCATAGCATGGTTAGTTTTCTCGAGCCTATCATTACAGGAACAATAAGCGTAGCTATTTGAACCAATATTTTTAAAAGCTACAACTGCTCTTCATGTATTCTCGTGCATTGCTATAAATTATTTACTTAACAGATTACAAATTGTTCCATTATAAATTTACCACAATTGTTAATGGTTCCATTCCTCCCCAGAAACGAGCGAAGTCGCTTGGAGGGCAACCCAGGCGCCCAGTCGGACTGGCGCCTCTACTCGCTGATTGACTGCCTCTTTCGTCCTGCCAGAGCTGCGAAGGACGTCTTCCACGCCCACAATGTACTGGAGGAGGCCGCCGCCAAAGCTCGGGCGCAACTGCCTGCCCTGCCGCCCCTGCACCTCACCTCCTCTGCCCAGGTCAAGTTCGAACGCGATGCGGACGGATGTGCCTTTCTGGACCCACAGCCACTGCTGCGTTCGGTTGTGAAAACAGAGGCTCAGCAAGATACCTATCACCAGGTGAAGACTGAAACCGAGTACAAGCCCACAGAAGTGAAACTGGGACTAGTGGGAACTACTGCAGAGAGTGCCACAAGGCGGGCACCACTGACGCCCGCCAATCACCAGTCCCCACCAGATGCAGAGGATCCGCCGCATGTGGGCCACACAAACGGCCAGCCGGAGGCAGAGCGATCTGCGTCGAAGAGAAAACGAGGACGGCGCAGCATACTGCCTCGCACTGGACAGATCACAATGGCCGCAGTGGAGGGGCTGCGCAAGGAGAACAAGATGCTGCAGGAGCAGAACGACGCCTATCTGCTGGCGCTCGAGCAGAAGGAGAAGCAGTTCCTGGTCATTGAGCAGAACTTCATGGCCTGTATGAAGCGGCAGAAGGATCTGCTGGCACTCATTCAGCAGAAGGGCTTCAAGCAGGAACTGGACCGTAACTTTTAGCTTTAAGTGGAGAACAGGAGCCGCTGGGAATCTCATCGCCATACCCTGCGAATTTCATTTCGTTCCTTCATCAGACTCTGAAGTCTAGTTCATAAGACGTACAAAGCAGCATAGCAAACCCAAGATATTTTTATTTTATGTGTCCTTTTTTGGTAGCAGAGTCCATTCGAATTGGCTTAATAGTGTGTTTATTATAATCTTTGTAAAAGATCTCCCTTTGGTAAGATCTTAGAGTTAACTCCAATTTTATTAAAAAATTAAAGCAAAAGAAGAAAATTGAATTTTTGAGTTTGGGTCACAGTTGTGGTTTTCTGATATGTCGAAAGTTTGTTCAGCATGTTCAAATATCTTTGTGAGGCCCCAAAACCAGAAACTATATCTATTGTTGCTAGGAGATGATTCGAAAAATGTAATGAATTAATTATTCAAAAAATTCTTTTAACATGGCAGTTACTCCACTCCTTTTTGCTAATAATTTAAATGTTTGACAATATTTTTTATAAATACAAATCTGAGAGCAATACCCCCTGTATTTGTTTAAATTATCGGTGGTGTACGACGAAGTCCCACCATATCTCCGCTGAAAAAATGGGTGGATGCCCTGCTTTGATGTGCAACGGATATGTTATTAATTTATTATCTATTGATTAAAAAATGTCCACAATGAGAAAGCTTCTTAAGTACTGATAATTTAAAAGTATAAATACCATATAAAAAGTATGAACTCCTATTTAGTAGGAAGCAAGATGTTGAAGAAATACGTAGCAATTCTTTTGGCTTTCGCCAGCATTGATCTGGGTTTATCCTTCGACAAATACACTACTGAAATATTAAATGGTGAGTTTTTTAAACCGAATTATAATTATATTATTCGCATTAACCAATATTTTAGGAAATCCATATAACATGGCCATTATTTCGAGCCCCTTTATTAAGATCCATGAAGGGTACTATTACTTTGGACAAGATTCGGTGAATTGGTATGTTGCCTACGAGAACTGCCGCAAGTTGGGATCGGAACTGGTGGCCTTCGAATCTAACCAAGAGTTTGACGCCGTTATTGGGTATATAAGGAGCAATCTTGAACGCACGAAATTCTGGACTTCCGGTAATGATCTAGGGAAAACTGGTACCCACAAATGGTTTAGCAATGCTCAGCTCATAAATATAAATCGATGGGCGCCTAGACAACCCGACAATTATAAAGGAGTAGAGCATTGCATACAGTTTGGCTACATATACGGAAACTCAAATGATTACCAATTAGACGATAATCCTTGCAGCGCATCAAAGAATTATGTTTGTGAGGCTCCAAAGCAAGAAACTATATCTATTGTTGTTTGGAAATATAGGTGATTGTAATTAGTTTGTTATACAAAAATTTGTTTAAAATTATTAAAGAATAGTATCAACTAATTTAAACTAACACACTTAAAATAATTTATTATTTATTTTTTATTTATTATTTTTGGTCAAAATTAACGTTTTAAATAAATTAAATAAAATCAGTACAATTACATTACAGTTATGATCATATAATTAGCACGAAAAGTACGCTTTCTCTATTTGTGAGTACATATTATTTAATGGACAAATTGGTTTCCAATTGTTTTCCATTAATATTGGTCCTTAAAAACAAAACCATTTTATAGCAATGTAAAAAAAAAATTTTTGGCGCATATTTGTAAATAATTAAAACAATTGGATTTATATTTTGGAAATGTTACTTCGATTTATTTTTTTTTAAGCGTGTTTAGATTCTTGAAATGAATTATCGAAGTGTTACTGTGGTCTAATCTTGCTTGTATTTATTTTAGACAAGACTAACACTTGTTGTATTTTCTTTTAATTTTCGGTAAACTAAAAACAACAAAAACAATAAAAAAATTTAAATTCAGAAAATATTTAAAATATGGTTTGTGTCCAGGATAGCCACCGGCTTAGTTTGTTTTACAACCATATTTTTTCAACAACCTTTTGGGTGCAGATATAAGAGGGACCATCGCCGCATACTGAAATAACCCGAAATAAACTTAACAGGGCTGTTATAGTCGCCGAGTTAGTTGGGCGGTTTTCCAATTGGGCTCTGTTAATTGGTGGGAGTTAATTCTTCGCAGAGTGACCGCTTGGAATATTTTTGAAAAAGCAAAAACGTTAGGAAAAAGGTAGGGTGTTTCCCTCAGCCGGACGCGGTCATACGGTTGTTTTTGCGTGGAACTTCGAGCGAAACGGTTGTGTTTTTGCGCGAGAGTGCGGGTGGCGGACGCGCGTGCCAATCGGAAAAGGCCTACAAATCAAATGTGTGTTCGCAAAAGCAGCGAATCAAGGTGTGTGTGAGCGGTGCGGAGAAAGCCAGATAGCTTTTAGATTAAGATAAAGATAAAGATCGCCGTTGAAAGGTGGCCAAAAAAAAGTAGAGAGGGGAAACAAGTGCAGCAACACACAAATTTAAATGTTTGCTGTTTGCCCCCGTGAGTGTGTGTGCAATTGTGTGCGAGCCGAGCATCGCCTAAATAAACAACAAAAATTGAATTTGCAGCAGAGAGAGGGAGAGAGAGAGAGAGAAAGAGAGAGCAATGCCGCTGCATGTGGCAGGTCCCAAAATCCCAATCAGAATCAGCTGGCCCCCACAGGGGCCTCTCCCTGTTGTGTTGGCCAGTGTAAAAGTTTCCTTTTTCGGCTTGCATTCTGGACACACACACATCTCTCCTTCTCTTTCTCCAGGGCCGCAACACTATGCTACAAACGATGTGAAAACCCGTTTCGCTTCATTTCGTTTTATCGCTTCCCCCACTGATTCTGTTTCTTTTTTTCTGCTGTCGCGTCACGCCTCGTCTTCTTGTTGTTGTTGCTGCTGCTGCATTACAGTTGTTGCTTTTCCTAATGCCTCTCATTCATTCATAGAAAACGGTCAGCAAAGCAACAACAACAACAACAGCAACAACAATGCGATTTCTTTTATTTTCGCCCAAAAGAGCAGCCAAAAAGCCAACGTAAAAATTAACAAAGCCAAATCAAAAGAAATCAAATTTCAAATTCGTGCGGCCACCAGCAACCAACAAAAACAACAACGGAGAAAATTATCAAAATCATCATCATCAGCAGCAAAAAAATCGAAAATTGCCCCGCTGTATGTGTGTGTGTGATGTAAGTTCGATAATAGTTCCGTACAATTGAAAAAGTTTATTTCGTATATCTATATACATATATGCATCTGGTCTATTATAGTAGGTCTAACTGCCGCTATTGTTAGCCCTAATTTGACTTCCTTTCGTTTTCCGCTTGCTCGTGGAATTCGCTTAGTATTATATCGTTATCGTACCAAAAATTGTTTTTGTATGCCCAACTAAGTATAACTTTTAAGATATCCCACAGAAAAAACTACATTGTACTACATTTCTTATCACTTATTAAATTCAACTGAATATAATTTTTGAGATATTCCACAGTAGAAAATAAAAAATTCCAAACCTGACTATTATATCGAAGGAAACACCACGTTCCACATCTTTATAGCTCATATCACTAATTAAATTGAGCATGAAAACCTATATATGAATAACTTTTAAGATATCCCACAGAAGAAAAGAAAAAAAATCGAAACAAGTAAATACCACATTGTACTTTATTTAAATAGCTCTTATCACTTATTAAGTTAATCATATAATATTCCACAAAAGAAAAGAAAAAAATTCCAAACCTGACTATTATATCGAAGGAAACACCACGTTCCACATCTATATAGCTCTTATCACTAATTAAATTGAACATGAAAACCTATACATATATAACTTTTAAGATATCCCACAGAAGAAAAGAAAAAAAATCGAAACAAGTAAATACCACATTGTACTACATTTATATAGCTCTTATCACTTATTAAATTAATCATATAAGACGTGATTATAAATTTTGAGATATTCCACAACAGAAAAGAAAAAAATTCCAAATCTGACTATTATATCAAAGGAAACACCACGTTCCACTTCTATATAGGTCTTATCACTAATTAAATTCAACATGAAAACCTACACATATGTAACTTTTAAGATATCCCACAGAAAAAAAGAAAAAATATCGAAGCAAGCAAATACCACATTGTACTACATTTATATTGCTCTTATCACGTATTAAGTTAATCATTAAGACGTGAATATAAATTTTGAGATATTCCACAAAAGAAAAGAAAAAAACCTGACTATTATATCGAGGGAAACACCACGTTCCACTTCTATATAGCTTTTATCACTAATTAAATTCAATATGAAAACCTATACATATATAACTTTTAAGATATCCCACTGCAGAAAAGAAAAAAAAATCGAAACAAGGAAATATTATTGAATTGAACATATGAGGCATAAATATAGCTTTAAATATCCCTCAGAAAAAAAATGGAAAGTGGGTTTTTTTATAAAAGCAAATACCAGATTGTACTACATTTATGTACATATATAGCTCATATCACTTCTTAAACTAAACTATAAGCTATAAACATAATTTTTGAGATATCCCACAAACAAAATTCGAAACATATAATAGCCATGAAACATGAAAGGAAATACCACACTCCACATCTGTAAAGCTCTTATCCTTCATTAAATAGAACACATAAGCCATAAAATAGCAAATCAGCTATGATTGGGTTTTTTCTCAGATAATAATCATGCAGGTCTAGACCGCAAGGTTTTTGATAACGTTCTTGGTAATAATAATCAAATCATAACTCGTTCTCTATCTTACTCAGACATTTTGGCCTCACTTTTCGGTTTTCCCTCGTTTTGATTAATTCCATTTCCAATCGCCTTTTAATTATCGCATTACCAAAACATTTGTTAACCCATTATAAATTTGTTCGGAATTTGTTTTCTTTCAAAACAGCTCTTTAAAATCCCCGAAAAACACATAAATCTTGTCGTCGTTTGTGGCTAAATATTGTCACTACCTGAAAATATACAGCTTAACTTATGCGGACGTATTTTAAAAATAGAATTTGGTGGGTGCCGGCGCAAAGTAAGAAGGCGATTACTAAATAGATATTTCATTGGAAATTTATTACTTAATTTTATGAGGTCTTATTGAAACATTTATTAATTTACATTATTTAAAATTTAAAATTTGAGTATTATAATAAATAAATATATATAACATTTTTAATTACCTAATGCGGTTATACGAAACCGAGCTGTTCAAACTGGCAACGCATCAAACGTATTGCTTCTGTTTATAAGTAAAATATTTGCTAATTATCCGGATATTTACGCAGTGTAGTTCCATGTGCCTCTCCCTATTATGAACTATTTATATTTGATAAACACTCGCTTATTTACTCGATTAGTATTATTAGAGCGTTTTCTGGTTCATCAAACGATCACTGAACAAATGTTTTCCCCAGTAATGGATATTATTTGTAGAGAAAGGTACGAAATCGCACGTAAGAGCTGTCCTTCAAATGAAAGAATTCTGTTCTTCAGACTGAAAGTTAGATGCCGTGTCGCATAATGTTGAAAGATGATAAGATATGTGGGTGGGGACGTGGCGTCTGGGTGGGGCACCGAACGCATTGCGGTGGTTGGATTACGTAGAACCTTGGACACGAGGGCGCAGATAAGCTGGGAAAGATTTATAGTTTTAAGATAAACTTTGAAAGAAATAAGTATTCCCATTATGTTTAACCGGAAGTGCACAAACGCTTTACTTTGTATGGATAGCTGTTAAGAAAATCTGAAATGTTGATTTTACATTATCTTAATACCGAGTAATTAATGCGAAAAATTGGAAAACATTTCCCAGACATTAATGTGTTTTATTTATTAACATGTTACAAATTTACATTTATTATTAATAAACGGATTTATTTTAGTAGATTTTTCTTTGTTGTCTTTGGAGTATTACATGACACCCACCAACAACTGACGTAACAAAAACCCTCACATGAATTTACAACTAATTTTGTTTGTCATAGCGACAAATCTTGGGCAACAACATTTATTAAACTGATTGACAAAACCGGCTCCAAATGACCCAGCTTTTCCATTGATTTTTGGAGCGTTTAGCTCCGGTTTAAACTCCCCCTCTCTTGGGTGAAATCGTATCAAAAATGTGTTAAATAAATGTGCTATAAAATATTTGTTTTTAAAATTATTTAATGTATACACTCAAATTGTGTAAAAACCTAATTTAATCCATTTCTGGCAAATGTAAATTAGAAAAGGTCTGAGATTTCGTAGTCAACATGGATTAACGAGCTCTTGACCCTTCCCCTGAATTCCTTATTGGTATTGGCTTACCATCTTGTGGCTAACCGCAAATAAGCATTTTTGCGCATTTTGTTTTCGTTTGCGTTTTACACTTTCCTAGACCCAGACCCTAGAAATCAGTCAGTTGTAAAAGTTTAACTTTGGGTTACCAACATCGTAAGTCAGGTGCGGATTTTTAAAGAGAAGAGTAAATGCTTACTTTTAAATTAAGAGATTTATAAAAGAAAAATACTTTGCACTGTTTTTTTAAATATTGAAAATGTATTCTTAAAGAAATATATTATTTATTGGCATTATTTATTATTATTATTCCCTAAATACCTTGAATTTGAAATCATTGTATTATGTAAACATTATATACTAATACAATGTTTTAAAATTGTAATAAACTAGACCATTTAAAGTATCTTGTTTATCAACTTACAACCTTATAAGATACTATTTTATTTTAAAGTTAATTAAATAAATAAAAAAAGTTGTACATGGTCAAGCACATTTTGATTTTTCCAGAAGAGCTGTTTCCTGGCTAAGTTATAAAATGTAAACAAATGTATACTTTTGTTTTTGATTGCCATTTGCTATTTGCTTTTGTAATTTATTAATTTTCATTTGTGCCCCCAACTAGCCTTTACCTTTTACTTTTACCTGCCGGTCTATCTAACTCAAAAAGGGGATTTTTCGGGCCGTCGCTTTGTCATGACAACTGCAGGGCAACAAAATGTTTTTCCTACTTCCTCTAACAATTAGGCACGCAAAACCGTCAGTCAGTCACCCAGTCAGGGGCATGGCCAGGGGTGTTTCACCTGAGAGGGGTAGGAGGGGCTGTTCTGGGATTGGGGCGGGACAGGTGCGCCCCTTGTGCGGTGTTCTGACACCTTTCTCCACGGCCAGAGGGCATGTCATCGTCAGCATGACATGCGTTGGGCTGCTCGGTCGAGCGGCGGCTTATGCTTAATGGTTGATTGAATTGAAACGAAAGGAAAGAAAGTGGGTTGTTTCCAGGGGCTGTAGATGTGTTCTTGTGCGACTTAACCCCTAGATGGAGGTGCTACGAAGTTACCGGGTAATGCGTTGGAACAAACGGTCCTCTTTTGGGGTCAACCCATAGGAATATTTTCTATGTTTGCATGGCTCGTTTGTAAATACAAATTTGTTTTTCGGCAATTCATTTTTGTTAAAGAACCAGGATAACGCCCATTAGCCATAGTGATGATTAATGTGATAAACTTTCAAAACGTATGACTAAGTAATATGGAGCACTGGGTATATTCTTAATATCTTTGCTTTAGTCCGTTTCATTCTAACAGAATAATGCAATTGGCCACACTTATCAAAACAATTTGTTTTGGTCAAATTAATAAGTTGTTTAAAAGTTTTTATTATTTTAAAGAGTTAGTTCTCTGAAACGGTTCTAAAACATATAAAGTCATGTCCGTCCGTATGTCCGCTGGAAAAGTTTTATATTCGAGAGTTATAAGAGCTAAGGTCACCAAGTCTGTTTTAAATAATGGCGATTTTGTTGGAAAAGGGAATTTTTTGTGATTTGAATTATTGAAAAGGTGATTTAAAGTTAAAAAATTATTTTAAGACCGAGGGATTCTAAATCGATTTTCAATGAAGTGTTTTTCTTGTTTTTTCCAGATATATACCCTACCAGGACATCCAGCTTGATATTCAACTGTAATTCTACAATTATCAAAGTAAGCTTAAAACTAAGGATGTCTATTCGGTAGTCGATTATAATACAACCTTGTAGGTTAAAAAAAATGATTTCAAAATAAGAATTTTTTGCTTAAATATTTTATATACCAGCTATGGTTTTTTTTTTACTCAAGCGATACATATAAAAATGTTCGAAATGTCGGTAGCACATTTTTATTAGAGAGTATTTAACGATTTCTGCATAATATTTTACTTTAGCGCCAGTTTATCCAGCTCGAGCAACAAAAGTTTAGTTGTAATTAATATGCAAATGCATAAAGTTCGAGCGACGAGAGAAAATGGGCGCCAGATAAAGAAATGGAAAACTTGAAGGCGACGTCAAAAACATTGCACAAATCATTGGTTAGCAGTGCCAGAGTTACCTAATTGTTATGCAAAAGGGTTGCTCATGAAAGCCAGACAGTTGCTGTTGTTGTTTTTGGCATTATTATTGTTTGTTTTGACTAGGTTCTTTTAAACTCAATTGAACCTTTGAACAGTCCAGGGTCCAATTAAAAGGATACCACAAAAAAGTGCATAACCAAGTTATGTCCCAAAAAATTAAAAAAAAAAATTTTTTTTATATTTACATTTTAGCAGTACAAGTAGGTCTCTGAAATTGGTTTACTCGGGTAAAGAAAGGAGGAAATTTAATTAAAAATCGTTTGCCACTACCCCCATCACTTATTCTAGCAGAGCCTTACAGTTTGTGTATAGTTTTTGGCAGCCTTCCAAGTGGCAAATGCCGTCAATGCTGTCAGTTTCTTTGTACCCAGAGAAAATATTGTAACCTTTTCGGGCCTAAAATGTTGTCTTAAATTTGAATAATGGTTGTCCTAAATTTTTAGTTAATTAGGCGCATTTTGATTAAAGCAAGAAACAAGTTTTTAGTCTTGGCATAGCCTTTACTCAATGTGGCAAAAGTTTTAAAGGAAATATTTATTCCAAGTGCATAAGGTTCCGAGATAAAACTAGAAGGATAGACCATGGGCGATGGAGTATGGCAGCCACTCAAACTTGACATAGACTTGGTCCTTTGGCCTCTGATGGTATGTGTCTCCTAGGACTTGTGGTTGAATATGTGTGCGTGTCTGAGGACAAGGACGAGAGGTCCATGTGAGCACAATGGCACACGGGCCATGGGCGGGGCCCAAAACGTTGGCAGTCCTTAGAAGAAACCAATTTCATCACTTATTGTCCCTAGCCAAGCTGGCGTAGAATCAATCCTGTGAGCCTCGCCTAACCTCTGATGGGATTTTCGCACTGCCTTAAGTTGGTTTAGATTTGGCCCGAGCATCCTTTTAAACGAATTAATCGAAAATGCATTATACTTTTCAGTTACATTCTTACTTTGTTGATTACTTAAAAGCTTTTTCTCACGCACAGACGAATGCATGGGAATATGCCAAGAGCCCTTGCGGCTTTTCAAATCGATAGTTGTAGAGAGGTAAAGAGGCTGAATGAATGGTGATAGAATAGACCTTCGACTAGGTGATGTGCCCATCTATTCAGCTAAGAGGACTATGAACATTTCACTTTATTAAGCCTCATTGAACATTGATTGGGCAGAAAAATGGAATCTTATTACTTGACGCAATGCAAAATAGTGGGCAGTTTTATAAGACTAACTATAATATTACTTTTCAACGAATAACTTATTTCTGTACATATTAACTTTATTAATATATATTAAAAAATAATTATGATTTTAAACTTACATTTTTGAAAAGATTTCATTTCATATTTTTATACCCGTTACTCGTAGAGTAAAAGGGTATACTAGATTCGTCGGAAAGTATGTAACAGGCAGAAGGAAGCGTTTCCGACCCCATAAAGTATATATATTCTTGATCAGGATCACTAGCCGAGTCGATCTAGCCATGTCCGTCTGTCCGTCTGTCCGTCTGTCCGTCTGTCCGTCTGTCCGTCTGTCCGTATGAACGCTGAGATCTCGGAAACTATGAGAGTTACAATACTGGGATTAGGCACGCAGATTCCTGAGATTCCTGCGCAGCGCAAGTTTGTTTCAGTAGAGTGCCACGCCCACTCTAACGCCCACAAACCGCCCAAAACTGTAACTCCTACAGTTTTGATGCTAGATAAAAAATTTTAACTGAAATGTATTGTTCTCATCAATACATATCGGTTGACCTAAAAAAAAGTTTGCCACGCCCACTTTAACGCCCACAAACCGCGAAAACCTGTGACGCCAACAATTTTCATGCTAGATAAAAAATTTTAACTGAAATGTATTGGTCTCGTCGATACCTATCGATTGATCCAAAAAAAAATTTGCCACTCCCACTCTAACGCCCATAACGCTTAAACCTGTATTCCGCCGGTAGGTGGCGCATTTTAATCTCGCTTTGCTGCTTGCATATCTCCATATAGCTGAGTAACGGGTATCTGATAGTCGAGGTACTCGACTATAGCGTTCTTCCTTGTTTTTTATTCGTTTTGTTTTTGAACTTATAATTGAAATTATATATTTTCTCTTTGAAGAGAACACAGTACAAATGGATCAACCGAAACTTTTTGTTTAATGTGGCTAAGTATTTAACTTGCAGGAAAAATAATCCTTTGTCTAGCCTTTCCCGTTGTCTCGTTCTTTGTTTTCAGGAAAATATGCCAACGTACTCAAGTTTCTTGGAGCGTTACAAGTACCGACAAATTGCCTCCATACGCAGCCATTTTTATTATGCTTTTGAGAACTCATTAAAACCCACAAGAAGAACCTTAAAACAATTTTTCCAGGCGCTAAGGGAAAGATGGGGATTATTCAAATTATAAAAAAACCTTGTTTCTTGAACCTTTTAAAATGAATTTCTTTAAACAAAAAGTAAGGTTTCCCTTAAATTTTAAATTCATGATATTTTTTAAAAATTTGTGAGTGTATTTTAGTTATGTTATTCACTTGTTTTTTACGTTCCTTTTTTAATGTATGCCTCTGAGGGACTAGTTTTCACTATTCAGCAGGAGAGAACGAAAAAGCTGCTTAAAAGGATTAGCGTTGCATAAAAGATGAAAATGTCCTTGACCAAAATGCTGCAAATTGAGGCTGCTGCTGTTCTCACTTTCTGCATTATATTTTTCATTTACATGGGAAAACGTAAAGTACATATGTACGCATTAAAGAAGTGATGTTTTGAGAAATAAATACATAAATGACCATTTTAAATCCAAAACTTAAATTTGTGTAGCTTGCAATTTCATGTGTTTAATTTATCTCTGTCGGTTGACTTCTATATTTAAATGTTTTGTTTTTATCATTCTTTGCATTTAATTTTTTGTGGCATTCTTTTTAGACTTATTTCTTTCTCAATCCACTAAAATCGATTGCCTATGAAACTTTTTATGTTTTGCTGTTTTCTTTTATTTATTAGATCATATACTAAGTATACGATATGTACATTTTCTAAACTAAATATTTTAAACATAATTTATTGCATAGATATAAAACATTGACATTCAAAGTTTTGAGCCAAAGTGCATTTATCAACATCGTTGTGAATAACAAGTTGCATTATCAAAAGCCGAAACTAATCGAATTCACCTGACTTTTCCCCTGGATAAATGGTCCCCGAACTCGTCCATCGAAGCATCCAGTCGGTAAATCAATGTGTCACCTCGGTAGAATTCATCCATTAGGACCAGCTCGTCGAACACCCGGGTGCATTTAACAAGCGAAAAAAAATAATGACGGTACTGGGTGTCGACAATCGATCCTTGCACAGGCGCTTAATATCATTAAAAACAAATTGAGCCCATTAATAAATATGAATTATGATTGTTAATAAAAAAGAGTATGGCCAGAGTAAGAGAAAATGTGGAAAAGTGGCATAGTTTCGGGGGAATTTTCACGCCCAGTGGCAGTGGTAGTTGACACCCACTCAACGCCACGCCCACTCTGGGCGGGTTCGCAATAAACGGAGTTTTCGGTAAACAAAATGGTAAAACATTCTGTGGCACACAGAGTCTGCTGTTGCATAACTTTCAGGGCTCCAGAGAACGGGAGAGAGTGTGGCAGACATCATAAATCAATTTAGTTCCAGGGGATGGGCAGGCAGTGCAAAGGCGAGTGGATTACGGGCAACCGAGTTTCCGTGGTAAAAGTAAAATAGTCATTTTTGTTTCGGCCCGATTTGGCGGGTATTCAACGCTTCATAGGATCCTCGGGGAAGCTTAAGGGATTGGAATAAACGATATGGTCAGCAAAAGTTATGAACTCAATAAATGGCCAGTTGACAATGAATGAAGGATTCCTGACCTGCCCGTAAAGCTTTTATAGTATTTTGGTCCAGCTTTTACCTCAATTCCCACCTTAACTATCATTTAAAACGTAAATCCTTGTAAACCTCAAAGCCCGCAAACCGTTAACCGCTCATCATAATTGAGCAAAGACCCATTTTCAGCCGCATTACAGCTCATCAGCACCGCGGATGCCATTTACTTTTTATTATTCACGATATGGGTCTGAAGACCTTAATTGGATTTCTACCCAATCGATTGCCCTTAAAAGTTTACGGCACCCACATTTTCTTAGGCAGGGTTTTATATTGAACTCAAGTGCGCTCGATTGTGTTTTCTTGATAACGTCATTTTTTTTTCTTTTCCCCTAGCTTAAAAATTGACAGGCATGAATTAGGGGAGGAAAAAAGTTTGCTTAAAAAATGGTATTGTATATTTGTACTGGATTTGTATACCCATGTATCTGTTGGACCCAACATTTTTCAGGCTGAGGCGACGTGCTTTGTTGCGTATTTCATGTTTGACACATCTACTCAAACTTTTTTCTCTGCGAAAGTTCTCCGTACTCATTTTTCAATACCACTTCGACATTATTATAATGAAGATTTCGTCCTCGACAGACCTCGCACTTTTCAGACCCTTAATACTGTTTCCTGTGTCTAATGTGACGTAAAATGATACTAATTAAGTGCTAGACAAGCTTATCTCAAAGGTTGCGTGTTAAAGACCATCTTTCTGACTTCCCATACCA